TCTCTCTCTCTCTCTCTCTCTCTCTCTCTCTCTCTCTCTCTCTCTCTCTTTGCGTAGGAATAACATTATGAGAAGTTTACTTCGCGCTCCCATTACAAAATAATATTGTATTTGCAGTTGATTTTTATAAATTGTTGTCGTAGGGCGGTAAGCAGACCAAACCAATGATTGTTTTAGAGAACGTACTTTCACTCCGTCCGTGATCTAATTAAAAAGGCAAAAAAAAAAAAAATGACGACTTACGCGCCGTTCGCACGTTCGATGATTAAATAGAGCATGAAAGAGAACGTCTTGTAACAACAAGAAATGCGTTTAGGGCCCTTCCTATATAAAGATGCTTTTCTCGTCCCACGTAGAATCCTAATATTACCGGGGGATATCTGGTAGTACATTCGATCGATTAGCTCGTAAGCTTTACCGCTTTTTCACGGGCGTTGCGTGTCGTCAGTATATATTCTCGCAAGCAATCTTCATAAAATTTACGAGAAAAAACAAATGCGTTACATAAGAATTTATTTTATAATAAAGTGTGCGCGAAACACGTTGTATAGCTTTTCCGGCTCCGGTTTATGTATATTTCGCGAAGTCAAATGTCGGACAAAAAGACGAGAAGATGCATTTAGATATCTCTTTGTCGCCGCTCTCGTTTGAATAAGAAAGTGCGGAAGAATGCGGAAAAATGAAAAAAAAGAACAGATTTGATATTTGAAAAAGCGCGTTTGTGCGAGGCGAGTATATATTATGCTGACATTGCACTTCGTCCGGTCAAGCGTAAAGCGAAAAAGTGTTCTCACGCTCTGAGACGAAAAAAAAAAAAAAAAAAGAAAAAAAAAGAGTAGACGTCAGATTGTAATATTTAATTGAAACGAACGTTTTATGCTCTATCGCGTTTAATTATCTAGAGCCCAATTACACGGCAAAGTAAGCCAAGATGCTTCGGCAAGTAGAACAAAACAGATTATTGCGAAAATTCGATTTTGTAATTACCGGTGTTTATTCGCAATGGTTTAATTGTGACGCTTTAACGCGACATGTAATATAAAGCGATAAAATTAAACGTTATTCGTGTAAACACACGCTTCGCGCCCAATGTCGCTTACGTGTGTGTGTAACGCAAGTTTTCTCGCGCTTCCTGCAAACGATCAAAATCCTCGAATGTATAATTGGGTTTTCATTTGCATTATTGAAATACGGTTATGTCAACTGTGTAACACATTTATTCCACTTTCGCCGTGATGCATTCCTGGCTGACATGTCGTTTCAATTTCGCGACAACACGCCGCGCTCATGATGTTAACATGAGACGCATTAAAACCGGCCAACCGTGATATCAGATTCGTTATTTTTGTTTACACATGCAACAAGTTAATACATCGATAACGTCGCTTAGAGAAGACAAGCCCGCTCTTCCAGGAGTTATTCGTCGATTAAATCTCATGTCAGTTAATAATTTAACGTCAAACAACTAAATGACTTCTATCTATTATAAAGACTATGACTTTATCTATTAAAAAAATATCTATTATAAATATTATAATACAAACTTAATAAAAATTCTTTTATGCAAGATTCTTTTTCATTCTTCATCAACAATGTTGCATCATTGTGTTTAAAATATCTTTAAAATTGATTTAAATATTTCTAAAATTGGTTTTTTAATGTTTAACAATAATTATATATTTCTAATGTTATATATATATACTAATAAATAACGTTTAACGATAATGATATATTTCTAATTATCGTACGTATAAAATAATATATTGCAGATAATTGTTTAATAATGAGTTTGAGATTACGCGGTCGCCGGAAAATTTTGCAGGTTCCGTGTCTGCTCCGATAGTGCTATTTCATGTATATTCTACTACACGTTCCACCTTCAAAGAGATGAAACCAGGTAGGTAGATTGTACACATCCAACTCAGATTGATCGTCTGTCCGGTCTGGCCGGGATATAATTTACATACTCAAACGTCAAAATGTGCATGAATACATATTGCACTAACCGCATTAACACATAAATTATTCAATACTTATATATTGTAAAAAATTTTTTGGATAAAAACTTTGTAATGTTTTTGCGATAATAACAATACCGTTGTAAATATTCAAACGCATTGTTATGCGATATGCACAAATTAAAAGCAATTTGCAAATTTCTGTATAAACAATCACGTGGAAAATTAAAACTGTTGCACGCGCGCGGTTTCACTTTTGTTGCGGCGCGTGTATCTCTCTGTACGAAATAACACTCACACATGGAACGAAACATCAATTATCGTCGAAACGCTTAAACAATGTTTGATAATTTTCTCTGACATGCAAATTAATAATACGATACATATAAATTATGTTATTATAAAATCACACGTGTAAGATCACGCAAAACGTGTTGCTGTAATATAAACTTCCGCGCGAGAGCAAACAAATTTAAATTGAACTTACACGAAATAAATGAATTCGAATAACGTTGGAAAAATTTCTAACTCGTTTCTCTCTATGAGATAAATGAGGGTTGAGGATTTATCAGAGAAGAGATTTGAGCGACACAGTTTTGCTAAGTCCTTGAAATCAGCTTATTCAGCGTGGGATATAATCGAGAACCAACTTGATCCGGAGTAGTAGTAGAAATAGAACACCGCGCAAAGACATGCAGTCAAGTGAAAACGGTAGATCGCAATGTAGCATTGCGTGCAACAAGTTTCACAATCAGCGAGAACAATAAGTTCTCTACGCGTACTTTTTGAGGAAGAAAAGTCAACATACTCGTCGCTGTCTTGCGTTAATATTCGCAACGCTGTAATTTGGAGACAAACGCGAAAATAAAAAATCGACTCAAAAGCACGATAGTTCAGTCGTTTTTTTTTTTTTTTTTTTATCATAAATAGAATGGAAAGTTATCACAATTTAACGGAGTAATTATAATGCACGATCAAAAGATTGCCAATTTGCGCGATCAGATTTAATTTTCTGAAGAATTAAAAGTATTTTTTATCATAATTTTGCACAGATATAAATATTTATTAATGTAATATGTGTGTGAAAATATATACCTCATTAAGCATTGCTGTAATTGTAAATATTGCATACTGCGAACGCAATTATTATCATTTATATTACGTATTGATGCGTAACACGAAATGTGGTGAATTTGTCATTTAATATGTGTGATTGCGTTGCGGAAAATATTTATATATATATACATTTTGCGAGAGAGAAAACCATACGTATTATTTTATTTATTTGCAAGATAATTAATATGTTATTCTCACAATACATTACGACCGTGTGATATATTTTATCCCGCAACGGCACATTATTTTTGATGTTACGACCTTCTCTCTCGTATTCCGTTGTTGCACAAGTTGACATTGTGTTCATTCCGGTATAACATCGCGAGCTCAGCGAAACTTCCGCGCAAGTCCTCCGTGCAATATCTGCTTAAATGCGATTCCATCTGTCTCGCGTATTATGAGACGTAGAAGGACAGGTTTGAAGGGAAAAGGGAAGAGAGAGAGAGAGAGAGAGAGAGAGAGAGAGAGAGCCTTTTAGCCGCGATCACAAGAAGTGTACTCAATAAAGCGGAAGGGAGGCCCGATGACGCAGGTGTCGCACATTTACAAACGAAGCGGACAACTTGGGAGGAGAGGATGATACGCGAAAGGATAAGACGGATGATGGAAGAGTACCCGAGCGACACCATAGGGATAACCCAGAGAGAGCCGGGATTTCACAGATTTTACATAGAGCGAATATATGTTGAAAGGTGCGACTTAACGATCGTCCTCTTGTGTGCGACGAGCTGTCTCGTGTGGGTGGTTGGGCGCGAAGGTATCAAGGGCAAACACGTGTTGCAAGCGTTTCGATAGAAAGCACCAATTTTTGGCGGACGCGCACGAGTGGGGATATATATTACGGCGTTTTATCGAGTTCGGTGATAAAACGTAAAGTTGAAAATCGAAACGAAATTCACACACACACACACACAGAGAAAAAAATAAAAAGGCGAATACAGGCGCTCTGAAAAAAAACGTAAAGATAATTGAAGATTGAGAAAATGAGAATATAAAAGAGATCCGAAGTAAGCAACAATCTGATTCTGTGTAATAATAACGCGCATTATTTAGATACATTTCAAATTGTTTTCCGACAGAAGTTAAGTGTGAAAAATATAATGAAGTAAAATATATATATAACGAAGACAATTTAAACACGTTGAAAAAGTAAAATCAACGATAAAACGTCGTGTACTTTGTAATTTTTACATTTTATTTTTTATCTTTTAAATTTTGACGCACAAAAGTTAAACAATACAACGTTAAATAATACAGTGCTAATGAAATTATCTTTGTGCGATACGATGACTGTGAGGATAGGGAGAGAATCACAAAAGCAAATTAAGGTGAGGTTAAATTAAACCGTAGAAGGGAAGTTCTTTCCCTCAACTTCTACATTTAGGTAGAAAAAAAAATTGGAGGGAAAGAAAACAAGAGTGAAAGGGCGAAAGAAAGGGCGCGCCGCAAGGAGCGCGCGATGTGAGGGAAACATTAACTGCCACGAGTAACCAACGGAGACCTTCACCGAGACCGAGGTAGGTCGACATTGCCCCTGTGCCGGTGTCTCTCACACCGCACCCCGCCCTACGGTAGCCAGCAGCCAGGAGCAGCCGTCGCTAGCAGCAGTCGTCACGAGCAACAGCGGCAGCGGCGGCGGCGGCGGCGGCGGCGGCGGTGGCGGCGGCGGTGGCGGCAACAAGGCAGGGGTAAAAGCAGAATCGCATGCAACCCCTATCGTCTCTCACCCTTGTACAAAGGGAGGAGGACACCATCACCACTACCACTGTCATTACTTTACCACTACCATCTCACACCAGGCCACAATCTCTCCTGCCTACTGCGCTCACCCTGGCCTAGAGGGTTAGCCTTGCTCCTGTGACGACTTTACGGGACCGACGCGGCACTGGGGGGATGCGCGAACGAGGGTCAGAAAGGACGGCGGGGGTTGCGGAAGATCGCGAGACGCGGGGGATGTGGACGCAGGCGCGAACGCAGACGCAATAGACGAACGAAACGGCGCCGAACGTACCAGCGAGCCAGACAAAGCGGCACGATCGAGACGAGATAATCGCTGTGGGACGAAGCTTCAGAATACCGGCTGTGTCCGTTCGCTCGCACTCAGTCAGTCCGTAGCATCCGGCGTTCGCTCAGCATGGGGGTTGTCAAGACAGCGTCGGAGAGCATTCTCGAGGAAACCGTACTCCCGAGCGAGGAGGCGAATTATTCGCTACAGGGCCACACCGGTGAGAGAGTTTAATTTTTTGTTTATATAATAAATGTTTTTTATTTATTTTTTTATTTTATTTATTTTTTTTTTATTATTTTTGTGACCGTGTCCCAAACAAAACGTACTCGCGAAACGCGAAGATCAGTGCACATCCTCGTGATGCCGCGTTCAAGGTCGCCGGTTCCGTTCGCTCGCTCGCTCGCTCGCTCACCTTCAGACACCGGCACGACGCAGGAATTCGGACTGCTCGCAACGAACGTGGCTTTAAAGGCGATGTGGCGAACCGCCCACCCGGGAGCGACTGCTAACAGGTGTTTGGAGAGATACAGATATAGGAGCGCGCTCGCGGCACTGCCAGTCCGTGTGCGCTAGCACCGGACCGCCGACGAAATTCGATCTTCGTCGCAATGCCATTACTTGCGTTTTGCGGAAAAATACGAGCGCCAGCGCTCGAATTCGCACAGCTTTACAGCTTATCTGACAACAAAAGGGCGATGTTAAACAATGTTATCCGAGTTCTTTGAAGAGTCAGTTTCACTATTGATTTGCACTAATTAGCAGAAAGAGTGTCGGAACAATCCGAACTCGGAAGAGAATAATAACGCGGTAATTAAATTAGTCTCTTTTTTAATTTGACCTCGATTTAAAAAAAATTAACGTCGATTTTTATTTCTATCAAGAGAGAAAAGAATGTTTGTGTAAAAAAAAAAAAAAAAAAAAAAAAAAAAAAAAAAAAAAAAAACAAATTACACGGAGAAAAACTGAAAGGGAAAGAGAGAGACGTTTCTGCGAATTTTTTGAAATCTGATTATTAAGTCTGCGTGTGCAGCCAGTTAAAACGTTTGATTACACCGCGTTCTTAAATGAGATACAATGGGGTACGCGCGGATCGCGAAACAGAGACGCGTGCACTTGCACATACCGAGTTTTCCGGAGTGTGTGATACGCGTCTCGCCGTAATGGTTACGGCGCGAGTTACATGCGCGCGTGATGTACCATCGACACACACGTTATTGTCGTCAACATGTTAACTAATATCGTGACTATATGACAGGCGCCTGCATACACATCGCCTATGAGTACGAAAGCGACAGCTTTAACAACTTTATTTTTACATGTAAGAATCGATAAGTGCCGCGCGATAAAAGTTTTACAAAGAAATATACACCGACTTCGTCACTCTCTCTCTCTTTCTCTCTTTCTCTGTGTGTTTCCACTCTCTTCTCCGACAGAGAGTCACAGGAAATTAGTACGTGGAATAAGCAGAACATTGTCTGTCGATCACTCTCTTTCTATCTCTCTCTCTCTCTTTTTTTTTCTCTCTCTCTCTCTCTCTCTTTCTCTCCATCTTTCTCCGGGTAGAAACGTCCGATCCAGATCTACTTTCAATACGGATATTGCATTATATTGATTAAAACCAGGTTGTGCTGCTAAAATGACCCAATTACGGGGCCGCGCCGGTATATAGGCGTAAGTTTCGAATCGATTAGGGCGCGCGCGAGAATCGAAGCCATGCGGAACATTTGCACGCTAATCAGTCGCATACATTTCCTTAATTTTCGAATTTGTTTTCTCACCTCATGTCCGTGCAATCGTGCATAAATGTATTTTTGTATCTCACGATTCTTCCGGGCGCGCAATACCTATACGTTCGCGCCCGGAATCGTTTATCAAATAGCTCGAAGCGAAGGGAAAAAAAAAAAAAGCAGTTTTGCACACGCCGCACAAGAGATCCCGGTAATTACAACAACAAGGCGAGGCGACTAATGCGTCCTTGTATAAAGAAGCTTCTATATTAATTTCAAGGTAAATCGTACTTTGCGAGAGAACATGTTTGATTCATATATCGCGCGCGTGCAAAAATAACGCAGGAAAAATTGTCTGCACGAGATACGTATCGAGCGTTATAAACGTGAAAGATGCGGAACACACGTAGGAATCTTTGCCCTTGGCCTCCCAAGTACTCGATAGGAAATTCACGATCTCTCTCTCTCTCTTCCGAGGAAGTTAAACTTAAGCATGCGCTCTCACGCTGGAAAGTCACATGAGAGGGGGGATTGATGACAGCGGAATATCATAAGCGGGATTAAGTAGTTTCGTAACACTTGATGCATTATCCATCGCAAACCCGCCGCGCCTGTGTATTATCCGCGCTAATTAAGTCGCAACGGTTGCGCGATTTTATAATTAGCCCTTTAACGACGTCAATTAATTAATCGAGGCAACCCTAAACGGCCAAATTGCGCAACGCTTGTCACAAATTACTACGAGCGAACGTGTTTTTTTTTTTTTTTTTTTTTTGCAAACGAGCTGGTTATTTCGCTTTTATCGGAAATTACGTTATGACAACCATTACGAGAATTTGTGTGATTAAAGTCCGCTTCTCTCCCATCAACGCTGGTTAACAAACGCCGTAAATCAAATCCTCATCATCATCATTTTTTTGTTTTTTGTTTTTTTTTTTTGTAGTATCACGGCACTGTACTCCGGCGATTCGCGGAACAGTTCACGTTCCAAGGAGCCAAATTACGAAACACACTGAGTTGGGTAATGCTTATTAACTCGATACCCGAACTCAAATTAGACATGGCTTTCAGTTCAGGAAATAACTTCCGCCATTTACCGGAGTATCACGTGATTGATCGTGTTTTCCCACTTTAATAAACGCAACGTGTATCGGCGCGCGTGAAAAGAGATACATGTTTCGTATTAACACTGTAATTTTGTTTCGATCTGGGGGGAGGGTTCTCTTCCCGCGTCGTCACGCTATGCGAAAAGCAATTCTCAAGATTAACAAAGAGTTCGCGAAGAAACGATTAAGTGGATAATTTTCGTGGATGGAGAACGGATGATTTATTTGGAAATGAAAATTATTAATCTAAGCGAAAAATCGTCTGACGGCTCGCGGAATAAAACAAAACAGAATTATGCGAACTATCGATAGTTGTGGAGCGATAAGTAGTGGACTGATAAGTATTCGAAACGACGCATTGATGTCACAAACACGACTCTTTGCAGAGTTTAACTTTTTGTTTCCTCATTCCCACACAACAGTCTGGTTCGAATTAATTTTAATTAATATCGAGAGTCACACTCGATTTCGCGCACCGAGATGTGTGTGTGTGTGTGTGCGTCAGACTCGACGTTAAACTGCAACCAATCTGTTTTTTTTTTTTTTAAATTGGTTTTTTAGTTTTTCCCGCAGCCTTGACACCTGGGAAGAAAACAATTCATATATTGCATCCGATTTTCATAGAACGATCAATTCAAGCGTTCTGTATCGCGGTTGTCTCTCGATGTTTTCAACGTCTTTCGGAAGCAGAGCACAAGTTCTGTGCAGTTTATCATACCACGTACACGTGGTGTCTGCTTGGTCAAGGACTATAAACTTTGCTCGCGCTCAAGACTACTTAAGAAATCGCGCGTTTATGAATTATAGCGATTCGCGAACAAAGGTTACTTTTTTCTTGTTTTTTAATTAAAAACCTTCCTTCCACGCGTCTCTTCTTTTTTTTTTATTTACTCGAGAATTTGTTAGAAATATTCGAGACGCAGAAGATTGAAATTTATCGAACCATTTTCTAAATGCGCTGCTTTCCAAATGAACTATTTTCTAAAATTGCAAAATAGAGTGTGTACGTGTGTATATTCATACACAGGAGTAAGATTGTTAAAATCCTGTTTCATGCTCGAGGATAGAAGTTCACTGTCGACATCGTGCCTCAGCCGCTCAGCTTGAAACGCCCAGCTTGTTGCACACTAGAATAAACCAAAGCGACTTAAGTCTAAAGTCGAATTGGAAATAGAATAAGCAAATTTCTCAATAAGATAAAACGAACAAAACGAAGCTACAATGTCTACTTTTAACGTGTGACAACAATGTCACGCTCTCACGTACTCCGAATAATTAGAAAAAAAAAAAAAATAATACGTAGTAAGTCTATTTAAGTACGTCACGTTATATTTAGTCTACATTGCACGTGTCTGAAGACAAAGTCACGTTTGGCTGCACATCGGATTTATAGGGTTAAAAAAATAGCGTTTGCATAAAAAAAAGTCGTCACAGTTAAGTTAACAAAGTTACGATGCGCGAAGTTGATGTTGACCGTCAAAGGAAATTTATATCGAGTGATTTCTTGATTAGAAATTTGTAAATTTAATACAAAAGTTGTGAGGTGAAACAAATTTAGCACTACTTAGCGCAATAAGTGTAAAATTAACAATAAGAATGTTTTAAGTATTTGTTTGTTTTCTTTTTTTTTTTTTTTTCGTAACGTGGCGTGGCTACGTGTTACAATAAGAGATTGCAGCTTGCTGTTTTTCTTTTTTTTTTAGAATTGATCGATCGCGTTTCTCGAAAATCCGTCAAATTCGATCTCTTTTTTTTCACAACCACCGATCTTTTCGGAGATTTGTTCAGAAATCGATACTGTCGCTTTTAGATCTCCGCACACACGTCCTGCGTTCTGTTTTTTTTTTTTTCTATTTTCTTCACGGTGTCTAAATATTGCGCCGCGTCAGTCTTCAAATCTTCTTGCGGAAGGATATCGCTTTGTTGCCGGCCGATAGCATCCAAGAGCATGCTCATTGTTTCCGAGTAATCCGGCTCGAACATTTTCCCCTCAGGATTCTTTTTGAATAAATACTCGGCCTGGAAAAAAACCGAATACGTCGTGCTTAGTGTAGTAATACTCTCGTTTTTTTGTCAGTACAATCACTCGCGCGTCGTGAATTCAGATGCTGAATATATATCTCGACGAATTGGAATTTTTGTTTTCATAATATGAAAAGCACGTATCTATAATAACAATATACGCGCGCGTTAAGAGAATTCTAATGAGAGAAAATGTATTTTCTCTCTCTCTGTTTATTTGAGATGTCTCTCCCGCTTATTCGATGCAAAACTTTTCTTGACAGTTACAGTTTCTGTAGTTATCCCGCTTCACCTATTTTTCATTCGTACGCGGGAATACACAAGAACGGCCTTAATAATTTTATTTAGAAATGGATGTCTCTCCTCATAACCAATATTACGACCCACTTTCACTTTCAATGACGTTCTACTTCGCTCTGATTTTTACGGTTTACAATTTTCTTTTCGCGCGACGTCGGTCAACGCGTGTGCGCGTCGATTTTTTCTTCACACACACGGCCGTTTCAGTTCTACGGATATCGCGCAAAAGCTCCGACCGTGTTTGTTTTATTTGTATCAGCCCGCATGGCTGCAATAATGATTGGCACGACAATGCAACGGGTATTATAAATATATACCGCTCTATATGTAGTTATGTTGTAAACTTAATGGGGAATCGATCGAACAAAAGCAGAAATAGCGAATTCTGTTTTTGTTTGCGCGATCGACGTTTTAGAAAGAGATAAAGGTTATTGAATTTCCTCTGGGAGAGTATTATAAATCGTTCCCTCGTTTATGTGTGTATATTTTGAAATACTGTATTGTGCAAAAGCGGTAAATACAAGCTGCGGTCAGTTCCATTATCTCTTGTTTCCGCGATATTTGATAATTAATAATTAATAACAATAGGAATTTAATAACTTTCCTTTTAGTATTGGTTTAGTTCATAAATTGTATACATCACCATTGTGTATATTATATATTTACTGTATACAAACACAACAGGCTGTGTGAGTTTCGTCACAGTTAATAAATTAGTAACTACTGTGAAGCAAACGTTCTCTCTCTCTCTCTCTCTCTGCTTGTGCATATGTACATCTCTGTGCGGTGTGTACTTCAATATAACAAAACCAATATCTGATGTCACAGAATACTTTAGTGAATGAGAGAAAATACGATTAATCTTGTAAATGGTATTTACACGATAGAATCGTAATGTCATTTGAAAATATTTATACATAAATAATGGAATATTATAAAAATTATTAACAGAAAGGCGTATTTTAATAGACGAGTGAGAAAAATATTTTTTTGAGAGAGAGAGAGAGAGAAACAGGCGAGATCACTTATTCATTATTGTATTTAAAGGAAATCTACGAACACATTTTAAAAAATCATGCAATGGTTTTTTTACTCAATGTAAATTTTCTCAGAGTAAACGTAACGATGTTGTTTTTTTTAACCATGTTTTATCCCATTTTGTCCGATATCTCGGAGCTAATAACAATGTAATGGATGTATCGATCGTTGCTTCATTATGTTTTTACGACGAGCTTAAACTTCTCGAGTTTTAGGAGAAGCTTTGTTACACGAGAACGGGAAATAAAAAAAAACCCTCTTTTTCTTTATTCTTTAATACTTTCAATTATTTTATTTTGCGCGAAATGCATTATGAATATTAAAACTACGCGTAAATTAATTGTGCATACGGGTTTTTGTCCAGTTTTAAAAGTTTAATACATATATATACACGCCCACACACTATTCGTTGAGAAATCTTTTATTGAAATGTACGATGCAACGCGATGATGCAGCGCGATGATGCAATTTACGAAACACTTTAAAATAACTTTTACACTACTCGATTGTATTTACGGATATTACGTTGCAATCGTAATTTTAGCGCAGTCATGACGTCGTGTTACGCGGTACGCGAGCGCGTCCTGCCTCATTATTAATTTTCCTTTGTAACTTAGACCGTGAGCGGCGCGTTCTCTTATGCAAGAGTATGTAAAGATACTAACTTATTGTTGCGTTATCGCGTTCTATTATCTCGCAATCTTGCTTGTGATTCGATGTTTCCCAAATAGCGTTAGAATCCCGATTTACACGCAGTCCATATAGAAATGATTACATTAGATACGTGTGTGTGTGTGTGTACGTCATGTTTCCTAAAATATCTGTATCATTTTATAATATCACTCGCGAAAGCGAAAATAAAAATAAAAGAATCCACGATTCCGAGAATTTAAATGACTTGCTGAATTACAACGCAACGAAAGTGACAGTTCGAATCTTCACGCACGCGATCTTGTCGTTTGCGTGAAATGGTGCGTAGAAGCGTGTTTCGTGAGCCAAACGTTGACTTTGATAAATTTAGTCTTTAAAGCGCAAACACAGTATCACGGATTACGTAAAGATCGCCGAAGAGGAAAAAGTGCATATAAATATCTTTATCGGATGTACACATATATAAAAATATTTACACTCCGCGAATGTTGATTAGCGCAACATATTTTGTTATCTGATAAAACACGCATCTTTAGATTGACATGCGTGACACACGGTGTACAAAGTGTTGTATCGATTAGATTGTGTGTGAGATGAGGGACACGATGAAATTTTTTGTCAGACGATATAACTTCACTTCCGATTTGTCGCTTCGTACACTTTTGATGAAAGAAGTTTTGTCGAGATCCGACAAATCTATCAATCTTGTATCATGAATTTGTAATCGAGGATCACAGGAAATATTTTCGAAACAAGAAGAAGACTGTTCGAACTTTTGGATCGTTTGTTAATGAATTAGATGGACGAACGGAAAAAAATCAATTTTTCTTCCGTGACACCGAATCTGATAAGAAAAAAAAAAAAAACACTCGACGAAATAGGAGAAGATAATCGTAAAATGTTGTTCTCGAGAAACAACTTTCACAAAAACTTGAAACAACGTCGTTGCACATGACTTTTTTTGATAAACCTTCAAGCGTGTCGCCGGGGGATATTGCATTTATCCAAACAAATTGCTTTTCAAATAACAAAAGGATGCTGAAGGGCACGATACCTCGGTAGCATAAAATACCAATTTCGTTAAATCTATCGGAAGACGTCGAAGGTAACACAAATTTACTTTATCGACGATGTATCTCTCTATCACATCTCTCTTTTTATCTTCTTCTCTCGCGTTAAGGATAGAACGTTATTCTATTCTCTTCACGATATTTGACTTTCATCTAGTTTTTTATTAAATCTATCTCTATATAACGATGCGAGAGAAACATCGATTAATGAAAAAAAAAAAAAAAAAAAATCTGTAACAAAAGCAATTAAATATGAATGTATTCTTTGAAAAATTATTAAATATTGAAACCTCCGACGCGCTGAAAGAGATCCGCTTCCACCCTTCCTAAGAGAGTTTAAAATTATATGAAAAAACGGTAAATATATAGAGGCACAAGTGATAAGCTTTATAATCTTTTCCAAACGAGCTTAAAAAACGGATTTTGCAGTGTTTTGAAATTAGAACGTCAATCTACTTAGCGACACATTATTTTAACATTACTTCGCAAAATCCTGCCTTGTAGGCTTTCAACTTTGAAATCTTGTCTGAAATTTGATATTCGTATATTTTTAAATATTCTTAATATACGCGAAACACGTTTACGAGATAATTAATTTGAAAAAAAAAAAAAAATGTTAAAACGCGATTAAGTCCAGGATTTAACACTGAATTTGCGGCGAGAGATCGGTATTCAAATGGGCAAACATTACGTTAGCGATCTCTGAGAAGATCGTTCGTGAATAACAGAACGAATTAAAACGATTACTGAAGCCGATAGTGAAAAAAATTGACTCTGCCCTTTGCGTTTCTCCGTAATAACGGACCGATCAAAACCGACCAAGCTCGAAATCACGAAATTATAGATAGAAGGTCCCGATATGGTCGACAGAGAGCCAAGAGAACGGTCATGCTCCTATTCCTCCTGTAGTTCGATGCTCCGGAGTGGAACGGCATCTAATCGTGAGCAGAGCAACCTATCGATTTCCACGGGAATGAGATTTGAAGTGTGAAAGTTGTTCTCGCACATTCGCACATATATGTGAAAAGTTGTTTCCTTTCGCGGCGATCGCCGCACTAACTCGAAAAGTCTCTAAAAATTTTCCTAATTTAACGATATCTTATATGGTGAATGTTCGCACTAATATCTCAAATCGCGACAGAATTTTGTTTACCGTTCGTCGAGTCTTTAACGCTTTCACTTCCGTGATTAATTGCAGTTATTTTACATGTGCGCGCTTGCGCGAGCTATTATTTTTCGACATCATTACACATCAATAAACATTATGCATATATACGCGCGTTGAACGATATTGAAAATTCAAGGCGTATAAAACACGCAGGTATTATTTCTAAAAAAACTGTTTTTTTTTCCAATGTTTAATTATTATCGACGAGAGAACGATCTCACTCTCTCTTTTCATATAATTATAAATATTTATACATATTTATACACAGTTTTTTGTGTTTTGAATAAATATTTTATTTAAAGATATGTATATCGTTTGATGACTCGAACAATTTGTCACTTCAAATTTTGTTTGCTCGTAATTATCATCACAATTTATCATTTCAATGATTTCGTTTGAATGTAATAAAATTTATCAGAAATTTAAATCATAAATAAACTTCTCTGCAATATTCCCGTTTCACATGCATTAAACAGCGCGATATCGAATTTCCAAATAATTGGGACAAAACTATACTGTGTATGTATATATATATATAACAAAAAATATTCAAATTATTTTTGCACAAGTGGAAATTCTCTTCTCATTAATATAAATTCTCTCTCATAAGTGTGTATAAAACAAAAACCTTAATATAAAATAGTCAACTAAATCTCATTTTTTTTCGCGCCTTTTATTTCGGCGAGCATTGATCACGGCAATACCGTGCTTACCAGCCGGCCGCGAAACTCGATACAGCGCGTTGTGAAACAAGCAGCGTCGCGCGTCGTCTCGGTTTACAACGCGGTCGATACGACTGTTTCGAAGAAAAAAAAAAAAAAAAAAGACTCATCGCATTGTTTAATTCATCTCGCATAGTCGCAGGTGGGCATTGATTTCGTTTTGCTCTAACGAGAAAGTATATGTAATCATCAAACAATCGCGCCGTGCATCTTCTGGGCGTGCCGAACAAACTGTGAATTTAATTGAATTAAAAGCCGGTCGCTTGATGTAATTACCCCTGGGCTTCTTGGGGAGCAGCAACACGCCCGAACACCCGTTCAACAGTTATCGGAACGTGTGCATCATATAAATCAATTGTGTGTTGGCAGGCTATTTCGGCGAGTTTGGCCGAAGTTGATTTTGTCACATTTGCCGGACGCGGCGTTTGCCGCTTTTGTATAGAAAATTCTACATTTTTCAGTTACCGACGGCACTGGAAAAATTTATTTTAATTTTGTCGATAAAAGTGTGCGCGTGTTATCGTTATTTTTTGTTTCTTGTGTGTGAATTTTAATATGCGAGAGTGACGGCACTTTCGAGAGAATATATTTCATGCGAGAATATAAACACTAATAAAAATGTAGCATATACAATGATGTGTGTGTGTGTGTTTACTAACGAGAAAATCTATCGGATCCTCCGGGCGTAGCTCCGCAACTTCTATCAAAGCTTGCGTCAACGTTGGTAAAACGTACTTTGCGAGATACTTCTGCATTGGCTCAGCCAAGATACAAAGCCTTTCCTCTTCCTCCGCTTTCAACTTCTTCGCCAAATTCTCCTGCGAAAGATCAACTTTGTCTAACGTTCCGTTCTACGGTACTTTTTACTTCGTAACTGTCGGTAAACCGAGAAATGTTAGAAGCAAAATACGAAATAAAACGGCTCTCTTGTAAATACTTCAACGCGCTACTTTAATACTTTATAATCCGAAATATATTTTATGTACGTTTTGCAAATTCATTTTTAAACCGTTTCGGGACTGAACTGCGTTGTGGAAACCACCACCTTTTTCATGTATGAAAGATTTATCGTGCGAGCGACCAACCGTGGTTCGATACGCACTTGCTGGTAGCTTGGAGTCGCTAATGCATATATTTGCAGACAGAAGTACTTCATGCAAAAAGGGTTCTATGAACTTCAAATGCGACTAAGCCCGGGTCAGTTGCGTGGCTTTAACGGACGCGCGTAAAAAAAATTAAAAAAAAAAACAGATTAATATCACACACAAAGCGAGCACTTTACTTCCGATGAATTTAATCTCCTCGCGAGATCCGCTTACGGACTTGCTAATTCGCCTTGAAAAAGAAATTTTCGTACTTGGTAACTTCCATAGAGCGATTAAAGCGTCATTGTGCGCACGAACGTCTGGCAAAAAGGTTGTATATACATTCGCGATTCGTCGATGTGCAGACACAAAGCATATCAGAATCAAAAACCATGACATTTATGAGACTGACGGCGCAGTTCGCAATTGAAAGAAGAACCAAATAGGTATGTCTGTTTCCGAGAATTATGCCCGGCTAAGCGGAAGTTTGATAACTGGTTCTGGCGTGATTACATATGTAGAATGGATCAAAGCACATCTGTGATAGACACGTGTCTAGGTTGAGGTCAAATCAAAAAAACAAAAAAAACAAAAAAAACAAAAAAAAAACAGAAACAAGTAGATGATATGCAGATGCAAGTCAGATGCAAGTCATATCAGAACGACAGGGTGTAAACAATTGTTCGCATTGCTTATTATAAATGCGCATAAATTAAATTATAAAAAATATTGTTTACACCTCACAAAAATAAACTAAAATATTATTTTTTTCACTAAAACATGTTTCTGCGCAAATATCTGAATGTGTTTAGTGAGTTTTTATGCGAATTGAGAAAATTTGCAAACCCATTCTATCATTTTCTGTTCGCGCAGCCGTTTACATTCTGAAATTTCTCGTTCCCTCTGCAATTTTTCTGCAGCTTCAGCAGCCCGCGATTTTGCTTCAGCGCGCTTTCGTGCCGCTTCCATTTCCTCAGCAGTTGGCCCTATAGTCGAGAAAATAAACATATTTTGATCTCCATAAATAACAACGTCCTAGATAACATCACTCAAAAAAAAAAAAAAAAAACACTTTTTTAATAGATCTACTTTGTGTAAAAAATTTGCTTCAATTTTATATTTTTATACATTTTATACGTTTTATTACTTTTATCACTAATATTGATTGTATGTAAATACAAGCAAAGGATTCTTTTTTTTTCTTCTGTTTATATACATAGATCGGGAACAGAAGTACAATATGAACGGAGAAAGAAACAACGCAATAAAATAAAATTACAGTTGACCGATAGCATAAAAGACCGATCTTTTAGTTAACGAGAAGTACAATTGTGTTAAAAATGGAAGCTATTGTTTTCAGAACCGCTATTTAATACTTTGAAGAAGAATTTTTTTTTTTTTTGCTTCATGATTCAGCGGTTTTATCAAGGATTAATCCTCTTTAATATATTTCTCCGCGAACAAAACAAAGAGTATTGCGCCATTTATCTGCTTGTCAGTTTCGAACTGGCTATTATAGAAAATTGTGGGCGTCTGGCGACAGGACATGCGCAACAATATATTGGAACCAGATCGTTGAAGCAATGTACATTTGTGTGTAAAAGGGGAGGGAAAAAATAGCGACGACTGTAAAATTGACGCAATCATATATCGCCCACCGTAATTTCTTGGTTTTCCGAGCTTTTCCAGACATTGATAAACCGTAGGAAACATATCTGGACAAGTGTCAGCTTCCACAAAGATGACGACTGGGTGAATTTCCATTTCGTCGAATAATTGTAGCGGTGTGTTATCGTCTGTGTTTCTCTCTCTGGAGAAATATATCATTCATGACTGACGTCGATCGCATAATTTTACTTTTAGCGACTGTATAAATATAATTTCTGCAAAATTTCGCACAGTGCACATAAAATTAAATTTTCCAACACGCGCGTTATATTCCCGAGTGTAATTGTGTGCAAACACAGAGAGATACATGTACAGTCTGCGTATGTACTTGTTAATATGCACGGCCTTTGACAGAAAAAACAGTCAAAAAAATCCTTTTAATTAAATTAAATAACATAGCGTAAAATCACCCGACAAAGAGTTTCGCGGTTTTAAGCCGCGCCTTTTATAGCGTCATCATTTGATTTGAATTTTCAAGTAACGTATATTGTTGTCACAATTTCTTTAATGTATCTCGAACAACAACGTCCTCATTTGTGAGCACAATCGATCTTCGTGAGCGCATTTTTCTCATGTTTATTCGCGCGAACGCGATCAATATCGATTCATTCGCGGGCAGAGAAGCTCTTACGTTATGAATAAGTCACGGAATTTCTCATGGGACGAAGATAAAAATAAAATACTCCCGACTGGAGTTATCAATTTTTCCTATTTTTATCACACGCATACGATTACCTGTACTCTCTCAGACGTCGTAACATATGCTCCTCCGTGTAACGAGTGTCCTGTATCTCGCTCTCCGGAAGATTCATGACTCGCTCCTTCAGAAACTCGTCACTCGCCTCTAAAACCACGACCAACTCTGGCAATATCGTCCAGTTAACGTTCCCGTCATCCTCAAATACCTCTTCACCTTTATCGAGATCTTTCTCCCCGATCAGAAAGAGCATTCTCGCTTGTTCGAGAGTTTTCGGATGACCATCCATCACGTATCCTTGATTCAAACAGTCCTTGGACTTCAACCGGTTCAGGAACAATCTTTTACATTAATTGATATTTTAAATATTATTCAAAATATAGTATTATATATATTTTTTTTTTTTTTTTATCTTAAGAGATTATCTTAGATAATCGGCAATTTAGAATCACTTGCGGGATGTTACGCAGAGATATGGTAAGACGAAAATATCATGTGATGCTTGGACGATTTTTTATTTTAAAGTCATCTTCAGTAAGTTACACTTGATTTAACAGTCGCTCTCAGACATCAATCCATAACGACGCGACTTTATGGACTGATGCCTACGAGCGACTGTTAAATATAACCCAGTGAAGAGATGATTTGAAAATAAAAAGTCGACACACGTCCGGGCAATGATCTTTTCGTCTTACCATTTCTGCATAACATCCGGCAAACGGTTATAAATTCCCGATTATCGAAGATAATTCTCTCTCAAAATTTCCGTTAGAAGAACCTGAGGTTCACAAACCCATTTGATGGGGATTTCGTTTTATCTCCTACGTATTTTCCAGTCAAATGTAAGAGTATTTTAAAAATATTTTAAAAGTGAATAAATTTGTCATGTGCGTCCGCGCAAAAATATATATACGTGAGCGCTTTTCCATATATACCTACGAGCGACATATCTATTTCTGTCGATTTTGTTCGTCGGCAAAACGTACAAAATTCAAGTCGTACGAAGTTCGCAGGACGAAGTCGAACAAAGGCACGCACGTATCGTAGCTCGCAAAGTGTAATAAAATTTGGTGTTTTCATAAGTTTTATATTTTACGTCAGAAACTTTTGATACGTAAAAGCAACACATCGCGCGCAACTTATCCGGACAAGAAAATAAACGTTTCTAAAGAAAGTTTCATGCATCTTCATTTGAGATGCATGATATGAAAAACGTCTCGCGTGTGTGCTGCTCGGCAGGTCCTCGATGAAAATGCCCGAGAAAATAATTAAAAAAAAGGCTAAAAATCTATGTATGATTGTTCGATATGGATTCGATATGCGTTTTTATCGCGCGCTCGTTGTCGCGTGGCGGCGAGCGTATCGATTCGAATTTTCGCCGCGTGCGAGAGCCAATAAACGCTTTTGATTGTGATGCAATTAGCGTTTCCAGGGGAAAAGCATACCCCTCCGGGATTTTAGTGTCAACTGCGCATCGTTATCCACAGAAGAGGGATCGTCACAAATCAAATAATTACATTTCGGCGCGTCAGTGTGATTACAATCAGAACGCGAAAAATGAACCGGCTAACACACACGAGAGCGACGTGAGAAGCGTCGTGTCTCCCAAACCCACGGGAATGGCGTGTAATAACAAATTTCATTAGATGCGAGATATAAGGAACACGCAGAAAACTATATGTATGTGTACACGAATATTTAATAACTTGGTCAGAACGATGTCGTCGAGACGGCCATTATTTGCTGCCATGTTGGCCCGGATCTCATCAAGTTGTTTCTGCAACTTTTTTACGACGGCCTCTTTTTCTTTCCGTTCTCCCTTCACCTGTTCTTCTCGATCCCTTTCCCGCGTATCATCTTTCGTTGTATCTTTGAGGTCATCTTGTCGCCCTTCGTCTGACTTCGCAGTTTCGATGTCGTCGACCTTATAGAAATCGATGAATGCTAATTTTATTGCCGATCGTTACGCGAGATAAAGCATCATGCGACTGTTCGAAACGTTCTTTCTTTTGAATAAATATATATATATGTACATATGTTTTACCAATTTCTGGATTGTATCGGAAATTAATGTTTTCACGTGAACGTAGTGTATCCCATAATGATCCGCGAGATATCGCGCGATCCGCGTTTTCCCGGACGCCGGCGGACCAAGGACGATTATTTTCACTGGTCGTAAACCACGTGAACTTTTGTATTCCTCTACAACTGCGTCTATGACGTCTTGAAATGGCAACCCGAAGTGCCACTGTATTCGATCGTTGATGTACACGGGATTAACGTTCAAATTCACCGTCATTTGATCGTACACGTGTTGGGAAACTTCCGGTATTGAAAGAGCTTCTTCCTTTGTAACACTCTTTATCTTACCAGTGGCAAGACCCCGACTGATACACTGTTAAAAATATTAATTGAAAAGAGTAAAGTAATATAAACCTTCACGCATGCGTAAAACATATTTTTAAAACCATTTCCAATTTGTTTTTCTAAAAAAAAAAAAAAAA